AGAAGTGGTTGAAGAAATGAAGGATGATCTTCCTTCAGAGACAGAGCTTTTTATATGTGCCAAGACTAAGAGAGTTCAGGTTTCACATAACAACGAGCAACGGTTTAGACCAATCAGGAGATAGAGAGATGGCACAGATTCGGCCAATCAGAAGACATGTATTGGAAGAAAGTAAAGAAAAAAAGGAAAGCTTCTGAAAAAGGTAGGTTCGAACTTCACATGCAAAGGATACTAGTCCTATTACTGTGCAGGTTTTAACACACCAAGCTACAGTGACACAGGCACTAGACTACAATGCAACAGGTACAAGGTTGAAGAATCTGCATGCTCTACACTCCCTCATGCACACATATACATCCCACCCCCATCCACATAATGATGCCACACAGGGTCGGTTGAGGCAGCTCGAAAGGAATCGCAAATGCTGCTCCTCTGATTATCGCTCAAATGCGCCGCGAAACCTGAGGTTACAGCTCCACAGCCGTTCACCACATATGCCATCCTTCTGCCTGAGAATTCAAACAGACCACTGGCTACTGTTCTAAGTTCTTGCACTGCATGATCCAATTACACATGGGATGCTGAGAAACTCACCACCACTATCACCACTATGGTAACATACCCCGTAAAGTCGTGTATAAAAGCCGCGGCTTATACGACTTTTTGGGGGAAATTTGGCAGCCTTCTATACAAGACAGGTATTTCTATGTATGTCAAATGTCAACACTAAAACCAGACTTATGTGCCGATAGTGTATCTTGAAAATCAGGCTTCTATTAAAAACACGCTTCTATATTAGACAGGCTTTAATACAAGACACTACGATCAGTTACATAACCCTGAGGCACACCGCTTCAACACTGCAAGGATGCAAGACACACTGAGCATGAAACAGCCACTCAAACATTTATTCAGGACAGACAGGTCAGCACCAATCGCGCACGCACAAAAACAACGATGCCTTGGGAATTTAGCAATAGCCTAGAAGAGGTCTGGGCTGGGCTGATAAAGTACAGTAACACATTTCCATGGTAGCACAGGCACAAGAACATTGTGCTTTTCGTGGGGGTTATGGGGAGAGCTTACAGCACCTAATCACGAGCAGCAAACTAGTGTTCATCCTCACGCTGCAAACAAATTATAATTGCAAATAAGACACGATTCAACAGGCTTCAGCAGTAGCAGCAGCAGCAGGAGCAGCAGTATAGCAGGGCAGAAGGTGCATGAGAGGCGGCCACAGTAGGGAAACGTGCCGATGAGAAGACAATAGAAAACACTTTACCAAACAACAATTCACTTCTTCTTGGGACCGAATGTTAGAGGCTGTCCAATGTCTTTACCACGTAGCTTGATACCTTTCAACAGAGATACACAGAAAACGAAGGTTTAGGTATTATCAAAGTGTCCTACAACACTGATAATAATATAGTATGCCCGGTAAATGCAACAATAGCACGCATCTGGTGACATACTTGATTCTAGAAATGGTCTGTATACAAAGTGCACAGCACATAAAGAGGACATACACCGTTGCACTGAAATTTCACATAACACGGATGTGCTAATTTGGCTTTCTTTACATCCCCGTAGGGATGCTGCAAGGGAACAAGTCGCACCGGTAGCTCCAGTGACGAAGTCTTACCGGCCAATGATCCGCGAGTTAAGAAGACCAACCATGTGCATAATTTCGATTAAAGAGCCTACTGTACTTCAGCATATGAATGCCCTGGAGTTGCACAAAACTGCACTGCGCTCTGAGATAAGTCATCCGTGAATGGTATTTTGTCGTAGTCGATCTACGGAAAGTCTTTTAAAGTAAACAGCATGCGGATCTGTGTTTCGCTGTACGGAGTTTTCAAATCAAGTAGCTGCCCTTGGCAACTCCGAACGCGGCAGTGTACGACCGGTTCGACCTGGGGAGAGAGTCATAAATTTGAACCCGAATCCACTTACGGAGCACTTACGTTATCAGAGCCCTATCTACGTACTCTCCGTAGACAACTTTCCGTAACTAGAGTGCAAACTCGCAAATTCACTTGTTTTTCCCGCCCACTAACGTAAAGTTGCTGAACTTTAAGTATTGCAGAACCTCTCTATTATTGGACGCAGTAAGATGGAGTTGTGCATCGTATCACAAAATCGTATTACAAAATAATTCTAAGAGTCCCATTTTAAGCAGCATGTTTTAGTGCAAGGATACAGCATTCCACTTGACAGTTTCGCAGAATGATTACACACATGTGGGAGTGACCTTCAGTTCAGGAAAACTCACCAAGAGCTCTCTCCATCTTCGCTAGGACGGTATTCTGTGGAATAGCCTTTCCACTTTCGTATTCGTTCACAACCTGAGGCTTCTCATTAATTTTCTGCACACAGAAAGGATAAGATAGCAGTTTAGTTATCATCAAAAACAGGTACATTGAACGCCCTAGCATAATTATATTAAATTCATTCAATATGACCCCACACACACACACACACACAGGGAGCACACACGCAGGCACCACACACACACGCACACACACACACACAGCGCCACACACCGGCTGTTGGCGACTACCCGGAGAATGAGAAGAAAGAGGTGAGCGACCACAATAACCGGGAATTGCACCCACAATCTCTCTTCATAGGAAATCGACTGTACATACCACTGCATTATGGGACGTACGAATGCACAACACACACACACACACACACACACACACACACACACACACACGTATATCCGTGCACACACACACATACAACAGCAGCAACGTTGACAGCGGCGACGACGACAACAACAACCCACACAGAGTCGTTCAGGGTCCTCACCGTTGACAACTCTTTCTGTGTCATGGACTTATCTTGTCGTCCTTTCTGAATAGCACGGCCTACTGACATGGACACACGGTCATCTGAATTTTGGAGAGTACAACAAGAGCCACACACACACACATCGACATGATCACACAGACATAAACAGAGCCACATGAAATGAAGACAGCAGTAGCAACACTAAGTGACAAGCCGCCTTACAACAGCACAACGGTAATACTTGAATATGACCGTGCTGTGGAAAGACATCCAAGGACAGACTGACTGTGACTCCATGTGTGAACGCAGAAGGCAAGTTCAAACTGCCGCTCGTAATTAGACTTGCGAAAACCACGTGGCTTCAAGTGCGTCCGCCACTGACAAATTCTGCTAAAAAACATCTTCTTCGACGCCGGGGAGAAAGTGGAACTTACGATGTAATTCTTCTGTCTCTCTATCTAATTTCGATGTGTCGGCGCCCTTTCCTTGTTGCTTGTTTGTTCCGGCTGCGTCTGCACAAGTATATACACATACATAAACATGCATGCTGAATGACAGTTTACCAGGAAAAAAAGAACACTTTCTTTCCTAGATTAACACCCTTCAGCTTGCTCATCCAAACAAGTACATGCTCCATCAAATTACAATCCCATCAGAGTGTCCCCTCTCCCCCAAGCGCCCCGCCCGCCTCACCTTGATTTCTCTCAGGTGTCGCATGTTGGGTCGCAAAAGTGGTACAGTGAACGGGCCTTAACTTTTCTAGTTGTTTCACACTATGATCCTAAGTTTTTCTTCTTCTAAATCGCAGACATGCACATTCTACCAAATTATTTCACGCCATGATCCTACCTTTTTTTCTCTTTTGAAATTGTCAAGCTGTTAGATCTGTGGTAGAAGGAAGAGGGTATCCTTTTTGACACGTGAAGAGTGCCTGCGGTATAGCCATGTTTTGCGATCTTGCTGGGAGGGCAATGTTGATGCAGCACTCTGTGCCAAAGTTTAGCTTGGCTAGTGGGTATGATTTCGGAAGGTTGCAGATGCTGGAGCAATTGTCATTACTTCAGAGTTTCCTGGAGGTCATGTGGTGATGTTCCACCTTGAGACCATGTTGGTATCCTTCACATCTACCGTAGCTCTGTGCTGTTGTAGCTATGATATCTTGACTATAAAACAATCCGTTGCTCTCACAAATAAGTATAATCACTGCGAATATGAATCATAACAAAGGCCTTGATGAAACGAATGGCCGTAAAGAAGTTTACGCACCAATAAAATCAACAGATATTAGGGAACAACAGTGAAGCCAAAACGAGGAAACCAATCATCAGCCGAGTTCTGAATCTGTTCCCATTCGAACTTGGTGAAATCGGTGGGTGATGTTTCACAAACCAAATGGTCACACACGGCATTTCATGAAGATATTTTTTAAGAATCTTCAGATTCAGATACCCCTGAGTCTGATGCTGGCAAGAGAACGGACGCTAATGATATGGTTCCACCCATGACGGTCACTTCCCAGGGCCCCAAGTAACCTAACAACTTTCAAGAGAACTACCAGCTTGTTTATCAGAGGCCCAAGGTACCGTTTACCCTTTCACCCCCCCCCCCCCCACACACACACACCTCTCAACTTACATTTCTTTTGCGTGTCAACGTCCAATCCGTGCCGTTGAGCAGAGTTAACCGCCTAACAACAGCCACACAGTCACAAACACACACACACGCAAACACACACACACACACAACAAACAAGCGTGAAATAAAGACAGAGCCACGTGAACCCACAGCGTGTTACTGGTGAATTCCAGTTCAATAAGTTGTGGCCAGGGATAACACACAGATGTAAGAACACGGACCAAAGTTACCTCGTGTGAATACTGAACTTTAATTGTATGCTCCATGCCATGCTCCCATGCTGCATGCTGGCTTTGTGTGGAGGACTCTCTGTGTTGGCCCTGTGTTGAGGACTCTCTGTGTTGGCCCTGTGTGGAGGACTCTGTGTGTACTGTTGGCCCTATGTGGAAGACTCCGTATGTTGGCCCTGTGTGGAGGACTCTGCATGTTGCACATTGAGCCCTCCAACAGTAATGGTGCCTACCCAAGTATCTCTGTGCACTCACGAATGTCTGCGATCGGTCACACTAAACCCTACCATGACCCAGTCAAACTAAACCCTACCAGCACTCAGTTACACAAAGCCCTACCAGCACTCAGTCACACTAAACCCTACCAGCACTCAGTTACACAAAGCCCTACCAGCACTCAGTCACACAAAGCCCTATCCGTTCTCAGTCACACAACACTCTACCACATCACCCCAGGAAGATTTCCCCTTCCCCATCTATGGGTGCTCACAGAAGTGTAATGACTGTGCTCGCACAAGATCCAAAACGACAAGGAAAGGGATTATGGCTCATCAGGTGTGCAAAGTTGAACTCGGATGGTGAGCCAATTTCATTATGGTAAAAAAGGAGAAGGACAAAATGTTACAAGTTATGACTGTCGCACTCACTGACTGTATATGATCTGGTTGCGTTGGTGGACAGTTAGGCATAACTCGTAACATGTTGTCCTCCTTTTTTCTCCTTTTTTACCAAAAGGGATTACCTTTCCAAATTTCTTGACGTTGCTCTAGTCTACTGAAAAACTCGAAGGAGTGAAACAGCTGTCTAGAGGCGCTAACAAATTATCTGTCAACAGCAGTGTCCTTGCTGTGCTGGTGTGTTTAGGCTTCATGCATGGGTTCGGCTACGAGTGCATGGTGGTGACGGGTGGAAGATATAGTAAGTGGTATATGGTCGAAAGCTCTGTCGCAATATTTTAGGGGTCAAACGGGTGTACCTTTAACGAACGAATGGGTAATTTTCTTAACGAGCGGGTTAACGAGTACCCTTTAGCAGCCATGTTTAATTTTTGCGCAGTTTTCACATAAATAATGACATTAATTTTTCTGTTCTCAGGTTGAATTTTGACATCACATTATGATTCCCAAATTGATCTGTGCCTGATAGTTGCAGAGGTAGATCTACTAGGTTCACAAATGCAACAGCAATGCAGACATCCAGCGTGGAGTTGTAAATAATTGACTCCCGCCTGGAATGCGCAATCCCAGCAGTGTCGTTCCGTACTGACTGGATCATCGAAATCCAAACGGGTACCCTTTTACTAACGGTACCTGAGATTAACGGTCGGGTACCCGGAACACCCCTTTGACCCCTACAATATTTTATCGTGAAGTTCCGAAAGAGGTGAGCTTTTTCAAGTTTAAATTGAATGAGCTTTTAGTACCACCAGTAGAGGTTTGATCCTTGAGGGTGGCGGGGTTCCTACGGAAGCGGAAAACTCAGTCTAACGTAAACTTTGAGTTTTCGTAACTACCAGTAAACTATTCGTGCCTTCACCGAATTGCTATTTGAGCGAATAATCGTTTATGGATATCACGGCTCGCTACATCACTAGTACAGGCAGTCAACACCATTATGTCATCAGAGGCTAGGACCAGAACTCAGCTGAAACTCCAACCTCCCGCATTGACTGACGGCTGTTTTGCTCTTCTTCACGAGAGACAGTGCTTTTCCCTCGCATGGGTCCCCGAGTAGGTCAAATTCTCTGGCCGATGACCACCTTGAACGCAGGTCGAGATCGATCGAAAACACGGTTTGCATCCAGCGACTAGATGCCCAAAATATACAAAAAATCATGCCAAACATTCTTGATCTATGGCACTCTTGATGTCATAGTACTTGTGTGTGTGTGTGTGTGTGTGTGTGCGTGTGTGTGTGTGTGTGTGTGTGTGTGTGTGTGTGTGTGTGTGTGTGTGTGTGTGTGTGTGTGTGTGTGGAGGGTCCAGGAAGTCAGCAAAATATTCAGCGCATACTATTTTTATTTTCGCCCGTTGCCCATCTATTGGGTAGCAGCACGTACAGGCTGACATTTTAATGTGGCCATAAATTCATAGTGTTTTAGCCTGGGAGGCCGAAATTGAGACATGCCGAAAATCTGTAAACTTACAGTACACGAGATTTCCTGCTAGGAATGAGATTCTGGGCACAAATTGAATACCATCTCAACAGCATAATCGCTTGAACGCGAATAGCAGTGTTGTCACAGGATTCACTACCAAGTTTCACCCTGCATCGTCCTGGTTCATTTTCGTCCGTTTCTCTATCACCGCTCTTTATGGAAACCTTAGACTTCCAGACATCACAGTAGACAACCAATAAAGATACACTCAGCGATACATAATGAACGCACGTGCAAGGAGTTTGCTGGAAAGCACCAAGTGCTACCGAAGAAGAATAAAACTGCAAGAGCCACTTTCCAGAGAACTATTTTCTCCGTGAATTCGTGAATTTCTGGCCATTGGCCTGGAGGACCTCTTACACTTTATACTGCAGTAGCTCAATGATTTGGGTCAAATGAATTCGGCTGATTTCTCGCGTACCTGTTGAGAACGAGCAGCCTGTCCTGTCTTGGGCTTGGCACGAAGGTACGTGACAGTGTCCCAGTCTTCTCCACCTCCAGTGGCCATTCTTGACTCTCTATTTTACTGCGAAAAACCTGCAAAGTGAAGGAAAGTCTCCGACCTGAAGCTTGGTTCGACGGAGCTGAAAAGAAGAGATAAGTATGTACGATCGAGCTGGGATTGCGAATGTTCAAGAAAACTAACTTCAACAGTGTGAATAAAGGAGTTTTTTTTCTTCAGCTCTTTGACTTTGCAGTGAAACCACTCCACTCAAGCTCAATCCAGCTTCCAAGACAACCGATCAATGCAATGAATCCACTGACGTAATGAGTCTTTGATTGTACAGTCATGTACATGTGTTGGTTGCATCATCAACTGTTAGTCATTTTTGCTAAATAATTATTTAGTATAATCGTACCTCGGCCTAGCGCCTATCGAGTATCGTACACACTGCTCGATACGGTGTACAAAGTCAACATGGTCAAATAATTGCAAAGCCAAGTAAAGGTACAGAGAGGTTCTGCTACACGGAACTACGTACCAAACTCCGTGTCAACTGCAGTGAAGTTTGACACGGATTTTTCGTACGTTGCACCGGTTCTGCTGTACGTAGCATGCTCGAACCATGCACTAACACCCCGCCACATGTACTCTGTACGCTCACTTTTCACACGGAGTCCGGTCCGTGTGAACCGCGCTTCACACGGAAAACGGTATGAAAAAATCCGTATCAAACTAAATCCCGTACCGCGGCGAAGTTTCCATACGTACTTTGGCACGTTATACCGTGTGGCAGAACCTCACTACTAGGTAGAGATCTACGCAGTACTACTGTTTTTTTGTTTGAAGTAACTTCAGGGCTGGTATTTGGGATCACAAAACGGCAAACACGTCAGAGGCCATCTTGAATCACTCTACGTCATCAGATACCCGCACGTGATGCGGGGCCGCGAGATCGCGACTGTGCAAAAGTGTACTTGCCAGTGCAGTCTTTGACCTAGCTGCAAGAGCAAGTGCTAGTTTTTTTTATTTTTTGGTGGTGCTTGAACTAGTTCGAACTGCTTCCCTTCGACTTTCTTTGACAGAGCGGGTTCTGTTAGGGTTTCCTGTTGTCAGTTTGTATCCACCACCGGTCTTGTATGTCAGTGCTTGTACAAGGAGGTGTTCAGTAGTTATTTTCAGTCCGCGCCATGGGTCGCATCCAGGGTAGGAAAAAGTCGCACTCTGACCGGCTTGATTATCCCGAGTCGAGAAAGAAGCGAACTAGTGGCCAGTTCGGCTCAGTATCATGGCCAGCTGGACGTAGATCAGATCGCCCAGAGGTCGAACAAACCGGCAGTAGTCCTGAAATCCTTACTTCGCAGAACATTGACGATGTGGAGCGCGGTGTTCAAGAACAAGGAACCATGGTAATAATTGGATTCGCTCCAGAAAATTATTCTCGTGGTTCCCGGTTCCTTTCCCATGACTCTAATATTTCCTATGGTCTGGATACGTGCATCACGCTGAAGCCTAGATGAATCAGATTGTAAGTCAGTCTTCTCTCTAGCTCAAGATTTTGCGAACATGTTATCAGTGAACAATAAAAGCAAAGTACACAGTACAGTGCAACAAATGGAAAATGCACGTCTCCTTCTTTTCCTTGCCGTGCGCACTGTCACAGTCTGCAGTTCTGACTGGAACTTGGAAGGTGTCTTCCGTTTGTGAAAGAAGCAGCGCAAATCGCGCGTGGCGCAGCGTCCTTCAAAACGACACAAGTGAGCTCCACATGAGCCGATTTTGACAATCGATGGCTCAAAATTTTCAGTAGGAGATGCTCCATACTTTGACCGAAGCGAATTTCGCCAAAACGATCCTAGAGGTGAGACACGTTTACCGAGTTTGAGGGTGTTATTTGAGGTCCAAATTGCGAAAATCGAAAAATCCTTCGGTGAATCCCTTTGCCCACATCTGAACTCGGTGCCTGCAAAATCTCAGCCTGCTAGAGAGAACTGTGGCTCACTTGCGTGGATTTGAACCAGTCCGTGCGCCAGATTCAAAAAAGTCGTCTAAAAGTTGACTTTTCATTTTCCGCACGGGGCAGTTTGCGGGTACTTTTTGAGTCGCATTCTCAATGGTGGACAATTTTGGAAAATGGTTTTGTGTCTATGGCTCGTTTGTTTTGGCATTTCGCTACCTGTGTGGTGAGCCTAAAAATTGCGCTTAGCCGTGGCAACACAATGGTGTATTCCGTTTTTCAGCCAGATGACTTGCTTCGCTGTGGTCCGGCATCTTCCTAGATTCTCAGCCGTCGTCGAATTTGAGTATTTTCGAAACATTTTTTAGGGTGCAGGCGTGGGGCAAGGCTTTCACTCCCAGCCAATGGCACCATTTGGCATAACTCAGCCCTATGAACACGTCACCAGGCCCTCGTTAGTGTCCAGCCCATATTTCCAAAAAATGGACTGGACTTGAAACTTGAGTGTACAGACAGTACTATGCATTATGCACGTAATGACCGTATGCAATAACTTTCGCAAGCTACACGACAAGGACTCGCTGCAGAATAACATAATGATATTCACACCATATGCCATTGTGGTGCACCGTGATACCAATGACAGTATATTTATCGGTGATCAATTGCCTACTGGGTCGCTCCGTTGCCGAGAACGTCAACGTTGCGGACTGTGGAATGACCCGCGACACCGCCAACCATCCCTGACACAACGCCAAATGCTGAAAGAGCTGACTGATACGGTACCTAACAAGTTAACTGGATAATGTTTATCTTCAACAAAACCAGGACATAAAACAGTGCTATGATAAACTACCTCCAGTCACCGGAAACAAATACAGTGCAATACGCATATGGATAGAGATTGCACTAGTACATGTATAATTGTATACCAATCTTAGAGAAACAAAACAGTTATCGGGTCTATACCATCAGAGTTGGCAGCTATATGTATTGGATTCTCCTGGTGTGCAGAATGATGCTGGCGGCGTGGTTCATATCCACTGTTGGCTTGCTGTCGGCAGTACCTTCACTATCTCACGTCTAAGGCATTTTATAGTCCGCATGACTTGGATCACAACGCCATAGTTATCCACACGAGAATGGTAATAAATCCAGATTACTAAGGCCTTCTTCATTGCAGTTGGCGCAATACGTTCACGGGATCGCGTCTCCGACCTCCAAATTGTAATTATAGCTGGCTAGTCTGTTGTTTATTGGCAGACAAGAATTGCGATGCTTCTTCAAAAGAGGCAGTTTAGCGATGTCTGTCCATGACATATTCCGCATTGCTGTGTGTGGAAGGAAAGGTGCAACAACATTAGATTGCTGCTGGCCATAGACATCAAACTGCAACATCTGGGCTTCAGCTGTCACAGGTCCATTGACAGAGAGACTGCCGCATATTGCACATACTGCAAACTATTGACTTCATGCCATCGCCTCATGGATCAGAAGTCACCACACTGAAAGAAGAACAGCAGAGGAAAACAGAACTGATGCAGTTAATTGATGCAGTTATTGGGCAGCAACAAATTTACTCCTTCATTTCATTCGACGAATTTGAGTCGTGCAATGCAAGAAAAAAGTCAGAGAGCAGGATCTAGGAGAGGGCATGCACCAGTGCTGTTGTGCCTATAATAATTAGATGCTCAGAATTTCACCACAATAATGCACATAATACTGACATATTTACACTATGCAACCTAGTTGTCAACAAATTCAGAAAAAAATCTAGTACTTCAGCTGGTGAAATATCCCACCTCTATCCCCTAAGCTCAAATGTCCCTGTAAAATTGATAAAGGATTGGTAGATGCTCACTCGGAGTGGTGTTTGAAAAGTAACACAACAGGTCATGACGATTTAGAGCATGCTCAATTGTCTCTTCTCATAAAATCACAATATTGCCTGTGCGTGGTTTATTTCGGGTGCAATTGTGGGGCACATAGGTATCACTCTAATTTCTCGTGCATTCGAAAGATAAAGCTTTGGTCTATCACCCCACAAAGCGGCTTTAGTGTCCGCGATGGGTAAATGCCTTACCTGGTGTGAAATTGGTGACCATATTCCTCGTTTCAGCAATTACAAAAGTGAGACATTCGTCCTTGGTGGCTGCTCACGAACTGCAAGCTCCAAAATAATTTTCCAGGGTACGGCCATAGGTGTCTACATCACTCCGAGCCATCTCTCCAGTGTAGGAAAGGTCTCCTGATGAGACTAGAAGGGCTCTAAGCAGCAAATTTCATTGAAATATTCACCATTCGGAGATAGGCGAAATCAACAGAAAACAAGCCCGCAGGTGCGGCGCCTTGGAGGCTACGATTCCCGCGAGAAAATGAAAATCGGTCTCTCAAGGGCCTCGGCGCACGGACTGCAAACGTTAAACGGGCATTGATGCCCAATAATAATATAATTATTATGATGGCGATGGAATTAAAAGTGTGGATCGATAAAGCTGCACTTGAGAAAATGAGAAAACAGTCAATACTACAATAGGAAGTACAAGTCAAGTTCGAACGAAGTAACAATCAGGGAGAAATAGGAAGATGAGGACCTACATGTATGCCAGAGAGAGGTCACGCGGCTATTCGGCCATATTAACCGTAGAAAAACACTTTCACTAGTTTCAACAATCTTTTCTGTCCCTGCGGGAATTATTTGCGGAAAAAACGCTCGAAAACTTGCGCAAGAAATTGCGGCAGAAAACAACAAAAAATGCGACGAAAAGTGCGGAATGATGCAGAACTACTTGCCAGGAATTCGCGGAATTATTTGCAGAAAATTGCGGATTTGGGCCAAATCACGAAATTTGTTGCATTGTATATCTACTAGGCCTATACATAGGGAGTAGTACGAGTCGTACTGTAGGCCTTCCCTATCAAAATAATAAATTCTACTACTACTACTTCTACTACTGTGCAAATATTAGTATTCAGCATGGAAAGCACTGCGTGAAAAGTGCATAAGAAATGTGAGGTATAGTGCAGAAAACAACAAAAAAACGCGGGAAATCGCGGATTTTGCTGAAAATCGCGGAATTTGTTGCATCCGTGGAATCGCGATTTCCTGGAGGGACAGTCTTTTATTAGTTTTAAACAGGGAGTAGTATTGTACTACTCCCTGGTTTTAAACGGGGTTGGACGACGAGTGGACGTGAGTTCCCGGTGTGGCAGGGTGTTCCAAAGCTTCACGGCGGAAACCAATGGTCGGCTGTCGCCAGATGTTCGCCGAGTTAGCGGACC